CCCCCCCCCCCCATCAGGTTGAGAGCCATGGCTGAGGTGAGGCTGCCAGAAGCAGGCAGCCCACAGGAAGGAGCAAGCCCCTCCGCACCCGCCCTGCAGCCCCCATCCAGTACCCCGCATGGCAGAGCCCCATGGGAAACCAGCTGGCAAAGAAGGAACACCATTTGCAGAATCCCAGGGGCATAAGCAGCGTGTAGAAGCGGGTGCGGGGCTGGGAGACAGTGGCTGGGCAACACGCACTGCACATTTACCAAGGGAAGTTCGCCCCATGTTTAGGTCTCCGGCTCCCATCTTAATTCGCAACAAACTAAACTGCCCCCAAATATGTCCAGTGGGGACAGAGGAGATGGCAGGGCAATCCAGCATCAGGCTGAGTCCCACCAGAGCCACACGCAGCGGGACCTCTCCTTCCAGCTCAGAGGAGCCTTCGAGGGGCCCGGGGTTCACGTCTGCACTGCTCTCTCCTATGAAAAATGGGCTCCTCGGGGCCGTGTGCGGGCCTGCTTAAAACAATAAGCTTTCCTAACCCCCGAGCGCGACATGCTCCGGGAGCGTGGTCTGGATGCTTATCAAACGCGTTCCCGGGCCACTCTCTGAAGTTGCTGGGCAAGTACAAACAACAGAGTCAAACCCATGCCTCTTAAAAGCGAGGCTGTGGAGCACGTACCCTGTCAGGGAGATCCTCGGATCCCCACAGAGTAAACAGTAACATGAGAATATTTATACGAAACAAAACTGTGTATCAGCCTGCGTTGACTCAGCCAGAGGGAATGATAAATTCCTTGCAGATCTCTCACAGAGTGGTCCTTTGTGGGCCGAGGACGCCACCTCCGAGACAGTACAAGCCAGTTACCGAGCAAGGCTTCTCATTGTCGAGGAATGAAAATACTGCCCCCCATTCGGTTTCATTTTGCAGTTTTATCTTACGTAGCCCGCCCTACTCCCTCAGGTTGAAGTCGTTTTAATTTATTGTTGAGTCAAGCCCAAATTCATGTTGGAAGCAAATGATACCCCTCCCCCCCCACCCCCCAAGAAAAGCAACAAAAGCTCCAGCATCCTCAGGTCCTAGCGTTTTGCTTTCCTTGTCCCTCTTCTAAGAGACAAAAAGCTAACGTTTAAAGTGGGGGAGTGCAGAAACATGGAAAAGTTGATAAGATGTTAACTCTATTTACCCACATCCATTTTGCCCTATTCACAACCCGCCCAAGTCCCAGGCAGTCATCTGGCAGGAGAGGAGGTTAAACGAGCCACGTTCCATACAGTGTCCACTTTGTAGTCCCATAGAACAAAATGCTGCAGAAACGTTTGCACAAACTGTCAGTTTGCTTCTAAGAGGCCAGTATGAGAAAAGGTTGATATGGGTCAGGATATCTGTCAGTGCATTTTGCCAGATGTTCTCAACCCAATATGATAATCCTTCGATGTAATAGACCTATCCCAGCTACTTCTGCCAGCTAAGGCTTAGAAAATGCTGATGATACGGTAGCTGTCTGCCAGTTAAATCTACGGTAATTTACTGCTGGTTCAGATTTTCTAAAGAACCATGGTGGGGCAAGGGAGGAGGGGAAGAGAGAAAGACAACAGGAAAGAACAGGGGAATTAGAATATGAATAAGAAGTAAGATGTGATTGTACTGGATTCGAAAATTCTTTATAAAAAAATCGTAAGATAGCTAAGATTTGGAAACAGCCTAAGTGCCCATCAGCAGATGAGTGGATTAGAAAACTGTGGTACATCTACACAATGGAATACTATGCTGCTGTAAAAAGGAAGTCTTACCATTTGCAACAGCATGGATGGATCTGGAGAGCATTATGCTAAGCAAAATAAGCCAGTCAGAGAAAGATAAATATCACATGATCTCACTCATTTGTGGAATATAATGAATAACATAAACTGATGAACAAAAATAAAACCAGAGTCATAGACGCGTCAAACAGACTGTCCAACCTATGACGGAAGGCGGGGGGTGAGAGGGTAAGAGATCAACCAAAGGACTTGTATGCTTGCATATGAGCATAACCAATGGACACAGACAGTAGTGGGGTGAGGGCATGTGCTAGGGGATGGGGGCAGCTGGGGAGAGGTCAATGGGGGGAAAAGGAGACTTATGTAATACTTTAAACAATAAAGATTTTTTTTAAATCATAAATTATTATTTTTCGATCAAAGGCCAAATTTAATCAACTTCATTTTAAAACATTAACTAACCCTCATATGTAGTGCCAAAGTCCATCATAACTTTATTTAGTAAGTATGGGCTTAGTGAAATTATCTTATTCAGATGTCTGGTTGTTTTTTTTTTAACTTTTGTGGAATCAATATATACTTTAGTATATAGGTCAATGGCATTAAGTATTCACATTGCTGGGCAACCATCATCACCATCATCTCCAGAATGTTTTTTATCTTCCACAACGGGAACTGAACCCATGAACTAGATGTTTGGTTTGAGACAGGCCTTGTGCAAAGCCAGCAGCCTGGGATGCAGTGGCAGCACCCGGAGAGGTTCACTCAGGTGCCTGGCAAACGAAGCTAATCCTCCTACAGCCCCAGACAACTCAGTGGCAGCAGGTGCTTTTTCCCTCTCTCCCCTGCTCACTATTGATGCCCAGGACTGAAGCAAAGTCTAGAATAGGTCTGGGAAGAGTACTAGAAGTCTGTGTCATTTTCACATTTCAGCTTACAAAGTCCCATCTAGTTCCCCAGGACACAGCCCTTGGTCAAGATGAGAACTCTTCTCCCCCTTTTATAGGTGATGGAACTCTGTCTCCATGGGAGGTAAGCCCACGCCCTCCAACCCACTGCCCAGTGCTTGGTCACCAGGCTGCGTGGCCTGTGCCAAGGCAATAGAAGGACTAGGCGCTACTGCTTCTCAGCTCTCACCGTCGGAGAAACAGACACGTCGGGTCTAACTGGACAGCACTGGCTCTCTTCACCACAGCAACCAAGTGTCCTTGTGCCTGAAAACCAAACTGAGTCCATCATTTTCCCATCTTTTGGGCATTTATATTGACAGCAAAACTACCCAAAGAAGCATAATTCTGGAACAAAATTAACACAACCAGATTCAAGAGTCAAATGTCAGCAAAAAAAAACACAAATATATATATATATATATATATTACTGAATACTATAAAA